AATATCCTACACACATTCCTCTTCTCCCTTATGTGTGCTACATGCCCTGCCCACCTCATCATCCTTGACTTAATCATTCTAATTATACTTGGACAAGAGTACAAGTTATGAAGCTCCTCATTATGCAGTTTTCTCCAACCTCCTGTCACTTCATTTCTCTTTGGTCCGAATATTCTCAACACCCTCAGTCTATGTTCCTCCCTTAATGTCACAGACAAAGTTTCACACCCATACAGAACCACAGAATCCTAAATAATAATATATAACATAAAATATTCACTTCATAAATAAAAAAAGAATATAACCCATTATTATATATTATGGATATAGCAGACCAACAACACAAGCATACAACAAAATAATCACAGCTTGATATTAAAAGAATAAGTTTAAAATATTTTAAGTATTTTACACCTTTAAAATGCAAAGTGTAGCAACATGACAAGGGGAAGCAATTTCCTTTCAACTTGTACCCCTAATGATGGTCAGCTGGGCCAAGACCAAATAATATGAAGAGACAAATGCTTTTGAAGTCTGAATTTTAATACATCAATGACTAAGCGGCCTCCGTAGTCTAGAGGTAACGTTCCCACCTCATGACTCGTGGTACGCGGGTTCAAACCCAGTGCAGGTCGTCAAATTTTTAAGGGCGGAAAAATTCAGGGAACAAGTCCTCCGGGAGGGTCTTTAAGCCGTGTGTCCCGTGTCGTAGCTTTACGGCACGTAAAAGAACCTCATATCTCCTAAGGAGGTCACTGAGCCAAATTCAAGGACGTTTCCCGCCCAACAAGTAGTCTCTAACACCTCTGATAGATGGGGGAAGCATTATAGATACCGCCAAGCTAGTGGAGGCCAAACTCGCTGGCTCGGTCGGGACTGATGGTACTCACCAATATCGGTAGGATATAGAGACTGGTAGAATATCATAGAGGGGAGCACAATGGACCAATACTGGTCTAAGTGCATGGGGAAACCCACCCTCTCCAATAACTAACTAACTAACTAACTACATCAATGAAGTTCCACAGGATGTTGAGAAGCACAAGTGCTAATTTGGCATATAATTTACAATGAGACAGTAAAACTTCATTTAAATAATTATTCATGATACACATACAATCACGTCCGGATGAGGTGAATTTTTTCAATTGTCCTAACACTTCCAGCCACACTATGGCCTTGGAGTTGACTCNCAGGGATAGATTTTTTATATATATAAAATCAAGTTTTTAGCCAAGTGCATTTAATGTGCTCTTCAATTTTATACAGTTCATAGTGCCAAGGTAAAATCTGTCACTTTTACAACAACAAACATAATTTTAAATAATGTATGACAGGCAGAAGCATAATAGAATATGGGAATGACTCAGAAAGAATCTGCACTTTTCACTCCAATTTGCAGATGGTAGATGTTGGCCTGATGACAATTGGCAGCACTGAACCTTGCGAGATGATGTGTCGATTCACCGGCTGACACGACCTTCAATGCAACGAGTAAGCTGCAGTGAAGCAGAGAACAGGGCCATGGTTCATTCTTTTCAGGCAAAGGTCCTGAAGGTGTTAAAATTCACACACATTTAAGCACCAAATATTGGGACAGTGCACTGTCTCAACAGAGTGTGTGTAAGTGGATAAACATGTTTACAGAAGGCAGGATAGTGTAACTGATTCAGAACTCTTGTGATGCCTGTCCAGAGTAACAAGTGATAAACACATAGAAGTCAGAGCCATGATTCTTAAGGACAGAACAGAAATAACAGACACTGCAACATTACTAGACACCATGAAGATTCAGCTCATTCAACAGTGTATGACATCCTTGGATTCCACAAAGTCTGTGCATGGTGTGTTCCATGTGAAGTGATAAAAGAGCACAAGTACAATCATGCCAGCATCAGCTCACATCTGCTTCAGTACTCCTGCTATGAAGGTGAGTTTTTTTAATCACAGTACTATTGGTGATGGTTCTGGGATAAACTATCACAAAGCAAAAGTCAAGAGTATGCAATTGTACCACTCTTCATCTCCTGCTGCCCATAAATTCAAGATTCAGCCAAGAGCAGGGAAGTTAATGGGACTCTCAAGGTACTATCTATTAACATGGAACCACAGTAAAAACTGCAAGGTATTTCAACATGTTACAAAAATTATTGAAGTTATACATTAGTACAAAATGATGAGGAATATTATCAGAAGGTGTCCTCATCTTGCATGACACTGCTCCCCATACTAGGGAAACACTTTGGTTCTGAAATTTGAAGTTCTTGACCATCCAGTATACAGTAAAGACCTTGCACCATTGGATTTCTGTCTGTTTGGAGCTCTACAGGAGGTTCTGACAGGTTGTCAATTTGCAGATCACGAATAGGTGCATGACTATCCCCAGTCTCAGCTCAAACAGTTCTTTCTAATGGCATCAGAAAGCTTGTGGGCTGCTGGACAAAATACGCTTAGAAGCAAGGAGATAACGCAGGAAAGTGATACACCTCAAGCCTTCCATACTTATTTCAATTGTAGGAAAAATTAAGTGCAGAAACATTTTGAGTCACACATGTTCACACACAAACACATATATGGAAACCTATAGAAAAAGAAACAGAAATACCTTACGGATTAATTCCATACACTATTACTTTTGGGGAAGAAAATAACAAGGTGGAGAAAGCGTCTGTTTGAAATTTACCATAATGAAAGATGTTTGTAATACTAAGGAATTTGCTGCAATTTAATACACATTCCAATCTTCAAAAGATGAACTCAAAAAAAAGATTTCATTTTATATGATAATTATTCAATATTTATAGAACTTCTACACATGGTAAACAACTGCTGAAACAAATATTTTTGGAAATGAAAAGTACTATCTCCTGTGATGTCATACACCCCAGTAGAAGTTCACAATGTTTCTGTAGAACATATGCTGCCATCTTCATGGTCAACGTGGAAGCCGAGCAAGTATATAGCAAGCAGAGCAAACCTTCAATAGAAAACTTTATTCAGAAATGTTCCTGTAAGGAGTCCAGAGAGAATAAAAAAAGCATTGACATGGACTAACTCTCCAGGACACTTACAGGTCTATGTTTGAACCATGTTTCCTATGCACAACTTACTTCTTGCTGGTTGCCAGCTTGATTTAGTTTTTGAGCTAGATCAGGGCAGTACAGTCCTCCAAAATGTGAGCAAACACCTATCAGACTACATGACAACAAAACCCAGAAGACAGCACTCTTCATAGTCACTGCTGTGAAAACCTCAGATCCAATATTTCTTCAAATATTTCATTAAAATTTATTTTCAATAAGCAGCGTCATTTTTTATGGTATCTCCGTGTAAGGACCGCAGAATATGCGTGAATATAACAAATATTTTTTTCACCTCATATATGGTTTAGTATAGTGTATCTACCAGGAAAATTACCACAAGTCAAAGTCCACATAAAATACTGCAGCAAACAATTCCAGTTTCACTTCTGGTCAATGGCTGCACAGGAATATCTGCAGCACATACTCCAGCATTACCCACCAGTTAAAACACCACACAGATGACCCAATGTTCAACATGAACCTTCTTAAACAAGGTGGGCACCTTCTATTCCCCACATTCACAGAGTTCTGACTTTGGTGAAGGGAAGAGGGGGGGGGGGGTAAAGTGAATCAAAATTAGCATGCGTAAAATTTCTACTGTCTTGAAACTGCACAGAAAGCCAGTGCATATATATGAACTACCAGGGATTCTGTCTCAGGAAAACTGTTCAAAACTCATTTCTTTACCAAAAATGTCACTTGAACAGACTCCAACGGCAAATGATTCCCTTACTCTGAGTTCCCAAACTATCGCCGTGCATCAGCTACCAGATTCTAACAGCAACAGCTCACAAGGACTGGAGGCGATACGTTGGTTCACACAAGATCTACATGGTGCTACATCCAAGAAGACAGCATTCTTCAACATATTCATTAACATAGGAAAAAATATTTATAGATACAGGAACTTCTTGTATGGAGAGTTTAGTTCACCATTCATGTCAAGTTTCAGTGGTGCCAACCTATGCAGTCATTCTGTTACTTGATTTAGTGCAAATACAATATGTCTGCCAGTGATAATAAGTTAACAACTATTCACAAAACTTTACTACAATTACAATGATAGAAACACAATGCCCAGTGTGAAATCTGAGGTTCTTACAGCAGCAAGTACCAAGATTTGACACAATGCAGTCTGGTAGAGAGGTACTGATGTTTTAGAGGAACCTGCTATCTCACTAATCCACCCTGAAGTAGGAGGCAGCAGTTTCCTCCTCCAAAATGTACATACCTATCTACCACACTATACAGTGTCATATCCCCAAGGACTGTAATCTTGACAAGGGTAAATATTTGTGTTCAAAGATACATGGCACTTTCTTCACATGATTATCATTATATGAATATTGTGCTGGACATCATTCATTGTCTGTGGTACCATTAACATACACGTGTTTTGGAAAATGATTCATTTCTTTATCATCAGGTGTAAGCATGTGGGTTGGGGGGAGGGCTCCTATGGAGTTGTAGCTATTTTAAAGCTCCAGTCTCAGATTGGAGCTGAACATCCATTCATAGGACCTGAGCCAGCCTGTGGCATCTCTATAGGAGTTGCCAGAAAGGCAATCAGGGACTGGACAAATATGAAGCACAAGAAATACTGGGGATCCTTGACTGGACTCAGGCAAGCAAAGGGACTCATACGAGGACCCTCTACTAAAAGAGCGAAGGAACTGTTGAAGTTAAACAGGAACCAGCTACAATGGGTGGTGGGACTACTTACAGGACACGGTCACCTTAAAGGACACCTCTTCAAACTGGGACTAAGTAACAGTCCAACTTGTAAGTGGTGTCAAGAAGAAAATGAAACAGCCACACATATCCGGTGTGAATGTGAGGCCTTAGCTTATTTAAGATCATGTCACTTGGGTCAATATTTTATGGAACCAAGTGACTATTTCAACGTCCCCATGTACAAAATCCTGCACTTTATTCAAAGAGCAGGATTGCTGAGGGGATAATCAAAAGGGGAAGCACAACAGATCACTGCAGTCGTGGTGTAAGGGCCAAGAGAGCCCACCCCTTGTACATTCACTGATTCATTCAAGCTCCAGTCTCAGTCACTGTGCTAGCTCTTTCTAACACGTCCAACTGAATGGGACCACTCCATCCTCTCTTATGATGGAATGGATCCAGTTTCTGGAACATGATACCAAAAATACACGAGATAATGGACAATGTCCAACATAATATTCATATAGTGAATCAACCATTGTCACTAAACTTTATAGATTAAATATCTATTTATCACGCATGAAAACTGTATAATGCACACAAGAGAAAATATAGAAGAAGACGTTTTTATAGATATATTAACTATATGAGGTCTGGAGAAGTTGGAACTCCTGTTAAAATTGCAATGCGAAGCTTGTCTGAAGGCATTTCACTAGGCATCCAGCCCCAGGTCCTCTAGAAGTCTGTCGATGATCTGCAACTTCTCACTTGCCTCACCCATCTCACTGACTGTCTGAACATCTGACGTGATGTGGTAACGAATGTCATCTATAATAGGAATGCTGTCTGTCTCTTGTCTGCCTCTTACTTCTGTAGCATCTTGCAAAATCAGGTCATGTAACCCCTCATCATGCATTAACTGCACACAAAATTACACCAGAACAATCATTTTAGTGTCACAAAATGTGATTTATGAAAAAACAAATTATGATGCAATGGAACGCCTTTATTTTCCTCTTCTGCACAATTCTGAATGAAATTCCAGATGAGCTCTTGGCAGTAAATTATACTGAGCACTGCCAACAGCAGCTCACTGAGCAACACATGCTGGTGTACTGGTAACACTCGTAGACTTATAACTGGGAGGTGTTCAGTTTGAATATTGACCATGATACTGGCTATCCTAAGGTTTCTTGTTGTTTTACTCAGTCCCTTCAAACAAATTCCAGGATAGTACTTCAAGTATGCAAAGGCCACCCCCTTCAGAACCCTCTTCAATTTATCATTTATCAGTCTTCCCATCATTTAATGCTATGTACCTCATATGCTGACAGCATCACAAACAAACATGAAAAAAAACTGTGATTCTGGATTACAAAACTAAGAGCTGCTTTAAACTTATGAATGCCAAATGTTTGAAACTGATCTCTGGTGCCCAAGTCAAAAACTCTGAACTTCACAAAAACTGCTACATCTCATATTTAAAACTGTTATGACCTCAGATTCTCAAGGCAGTGATTACGAGGATCCATTTATCAAGTGGGATGTGACACAATCTGTTTCCTATCTGCCAGTATCTGCATAATACAGCACTGAATGGTGGGACAACAGATGAACAATGAACTGCAAAGATGCAGTCATGCCTTGCTAAGATACTATCCCAGCATTTGCTTGGAGGAACCAAATAAAACTATCAAAAACATCAGTTACACTGGATAATGCCCGAGCAAAGATTCAAAACAAGCACTTCCAAAATATAAGTCTAGAGCATTAGTGCTGCACTAACCTGTTCAATCTTGCTATATAGTTTGGTGAAAGTTTATACAACATTTTGGACAACTGTTCTTCTCCCCTCTTCAGGGGTAAAGAGCAGACTAAGCAAATAAGCAGAAAGCAGCTGCTTACCCCTTGAATTAAATATGACCCTCAACTTTGCAGAAAAACAAGGTTTAAAATCCCTTTTCCCAGATGATACATGTTAAAATATACTCTACCACAAGAAGATTGAGAAACAGCAGTATAACTCGCACTCGTACCTTATCAATGTGGAGACACATGAACCGGATGCACTGATCTTCAAGCTGCGGTAACTGGAAAAGCCGTGCAGTCTTCAGTCTGCTCACTACATTCTCTGTGCTCAGACAGCTCCCAAGAAAAGTTCCACAGCCTCGCTTCAAACCAGACAGCAAGTACATGTCTGCTGCACACAGCACATCCAGTGTGTGTTCCTCCCGAACCTGCAACAGGAACCCAGGACCTCGCTCAATGGTAGAGAGCACAGATGTCCATGTGCTTAATTAAGTACTACTCCATGAAGTCATATGGAAGAGTGGACATCTTGCTTAGTGCATTTTAACCTCAACACTATATGGAGACGACTGGTCAGCTTCAATCCAAGCTGCTTTTCTCCCAGGGAGACAGATCCCAGTACCGATTCGAGAGGTAGTTCGGACACGGCAAAGAAAAGTTTCCACCCCATGCTTGGGATCAAACATTGATTTCTCAGTCATGAAGCCCATACATCTCCCTAGGCAGGTTGGTACTTAATCAGCTGGTGAAGATATTCACTGCTTTCATGGAACCCAGTGTTTCATGAAGTATATTCAAAATGAGTTTGATTTGTTTCATTCTGGTCCGTCACACTAACAATTACAAATATAAATCACTCTGTCCAATGTGACCTGTAAGTTTTTTACTACATGAAAACTTAACACCCTTACATGTTTCGGTCTCTGTGGACCATCTTCAGAGGGCAAACATCACTACAAATAGGAAACCACCATCACATAAGTTGTTTAGACGTAAAGTACGTACGCTTATATGCTACAATACATAGTACACAAAATTGAACATTTCACAAACACAGCAGTTTCCTGGGAATGTAAAGTTTTTTATAAAATTGTATAAAATTTCTTGATGCTAATTAAAAAATTTTTGGGATTGTCAATAATTAAAATTCGTAAACCATGCAGGCTCGTGTTCGTCCTCCCATCGTCCCTCTTGTATGGGGCAGATATTGTGCCACCTGGCTATCTTGATGTGGAGGTTCTGCAAATATATTATGGGTATTTTACTATTTCAATGTTAATACTGTCTATATATATAATTTATATATATGTTTGAGGTTATGTTATGTCCTACCTTTATATCGTCCAGGCTTTGCTCATGGCTGCTGTGCTGTTTTCACTGTTCAGAAGTGTGTTGTGTCACATGAATTTATGCTTGTTGTGTTTGTGACGTCAGTGTGGGCGTGTTCTGATGATGTATTACTCGTATGAGGTCGAACATACTATGTAGGCTATTACTTTCTTTTTTATACTTTTGTTCTTCTATCAATTTATTGAATTTATTAAATTGATATATGTAGAAGTCCTCTTTTATATTCATTATGCCTCCTTTTTTAGCTTTTTCGATCATTTCCATAATTACTGTCATCGGCCCATATTGATGGAGGTTATTTAGTATATGTTGGGCAAACGCCGATTCGTCTTTGTTTAGTCTTATATTTCTTATGTGTTCTGTGCATCTAGTTGTTATATTTCTACCCGTTTGGTCGATGTATACTTTTTGGCAACTTTGGCATGTTAGTTTGTATATACCACTATGCTCGTACGGGTTTATTTGTCGCGTTTTGTTTATTAGGTTACCTATTGTGTGTGTTGTTTCAAAGGCTATCTTTATGTTGGTGTTTTTGAATAGTTTTGTGATTTTTGTATGTAGTTTCCTGTGTAGGTATAAGTGACCCATTTTTGTTGTTCTTTTTCATCTTTATTATCCGGGTTACTTATCTTTTTTTAAGTTTGTTATACAGGTGTATGATGTCTGCCTTTCTATAGCCATTATTTAGTGCTATATTAATAATGGTGTTTAATTCTTTGCTTTTAGCATCCTTCTCGAGTGGAAGTGTAAGAAGTCTGTGTATCCAGTTTTTATATGCTGCTAATTTTTGTTCTTTAGGGTGGCATGATTTATTATTTATAGTTATGTCTGTCGATGTTGGTTTTCTGTATATTTCCATTTCTGTTAGTTATGTTTAAGTCTAGGTAGGTTATTTGGTTGTTTACTTCTTCGTTTAGTGTGAATTGTAGGTTTTTATGTTGTCTACTGAACTGTTCGAGGATGCACTGTAATACATACATACTATGTATTGTAGCATATAAGTGTACGTACTTTACGTCTAAACAACTTATGTGATGGTGGTTTCCTATTTGTAGCGATGTTTGCCCTCTGAAGATGGTCCACAGAGACCGAAACATGTAAGGGTGTTAAGTTTTCATGTAGTAAAAAACTTACAGGTCACATTGGACGGAGTGATTTATATTTGTATATTCAAAATAATTCTCTGTCAGTTGAATTACATTCTGTTTGTCTAAGATCCACTTCAGTATTATACTCAGACTTCTAAGTGGTCTCTTTATACACATATACATGTCACAGCACTACACTGAATACTTTTCCTATATCTGAAGTTACCGTTTGCTGGTGTTCTCTCCAGACTGCCATACCTGACCAACGTCACAAGAAAACAAGATATATCTCTTCTAGAATACATTATGAGTAAATAACTTTCTCCTCTGTACACATATAGTGGATGCCATTAGCTTCTGTGACTCCTACGATGGATGTAGATTCTATGCTACACGTTTCTTTACAGTGAAATACCACACACTGTTAGTGAACTGCCAAAAAAAGAAAAAAGGCTGGGTTGGGAGGTAAGCCAGCAGATTTGACAGTAATGTGAGTGTAAGGTGACATTTACATAGTGGCTAGGAATGTTGCTTTACAAGAAGGAGCAAAGATTAAAAACAGGAATCCCTCTGTGCAGATGTGTCACTCAGATCCACAAGAGGTGGACAGGAAAGAGAGCTCCATATGGGTCAACAGGAACATGAACTGGAAGTTTGAGAGCAAAGCAAAACAGAATAATAATAGGGGCCTGTCTCACAGTGAGTTCCATCTCCTCTCCGCCTCCAATAGATATAAGTAACCACCTGACCTGAAACCTTCTCATGTAACCACACTTGTTTCAAGCTTGCAAATTGAAGCAGTTTGTTCTTCTGAAACATCAGGGTGCCGTACAGTGCTACCTGTTGTCATGATACAGAAGGTCACAGTCTGAATTTGCTTCTGTCATTTCATTTCATTTATTTCGTGTCCATGGATCATTATACATGATATAAGACATGTCATTCTTGTGTAGTTATAGTATAATAAGTTTCATGATGTTACTATTGGGGGGGGCTGCATGTGAAGCATGCAGTGCAATGTGGAATTTGGGTACCAACTCAGCATTTGCTCTGGGACCAAGGAAAACCACGGAAAACCTTGATCAAATTGGCCGGTCACAAGACCTCCCAGATACACTGGTTTCTAGCAGCACCACTCCCACCGCCTCGTTAACTCAGACAAACACTGCACAACTGGGATACCAACCTGAACAACATTGGTATAAATGTAATATACAACGGCAGCGAATGCTTCTACTGGAACATTTCTAATAGTAACCACTGGCTTTCCATTGTCAGCTGTTGTCTCACTGAAGTGGTCCCGCAGCAATGCATTGAAATACTCACTCCTTCCACAAAAGAAAGCCTGAGAGAAGAACACAGAACAGTATACCATTCACCTTTAAATCTAAATTACCATATTTCATTACAGAAGTCATAAAGTTTTCTCCAAAAATTTCATAATAAAGAAACTCAAGTGTGGTTCATGTAAGGACTTATGAAAATTTCATGCATATAGTCCAACCCACCAGGTAAAGTAAAACATTTTCTACAAAAAGTTGAGCAGGTCTAACAGAGAGGTGTGTAGCAAAACATAATGTTCTATTATTTATGCTATTCCATGTATTTAGTAAACCACATTACATTCTGAAGACTGCTGCGTTCTGCAATGCGACACTATGCAATCTGGCAGAACATGACTAATATTTTACAGTGAGTATTTAGGTCGAGGAAATTCTCTACCAGTGATCCAAAAAGAAAATCGCTGATTTCTCACATACCCCACTTACTGTCTGCAAGGGCTTTCAAAAGACACACATTTTCCCAATTCTCAAAGTTTAAATTTTCTTCCTATGAGAAAATCATCCCCCTCGTTGGTGTCTCCACCTTATCGTGGTTCAAGAAGCCAAAGAGAAGAATTTACACATGGAAGGCACCTGGGGATTGGAAGAGGCATCAGCTGGACTACATCCTTGTGAAACATCGATTCAGAAACAGTGTGAAGGATGTGAAGACGCTTCCTGGGGCAGACATTGACTCTGACCACAACTTGCTGGTTGCCAAGTTCCGAACCAGGTTGAAGAAAATTATAGGATTTCGAAAGCGCAGACCCAGATGGGATTTGGAGAAGTTATATGCTCAAAGACAAAGCGTGCAAGAGACCCTAGAAGAGAAAC